TGAAATGAGATATGTTAAATGTGAATTGAGATGTGAAGATGATGAATGAGTGATATATATATATATATATATATATATTTATTTATTTATTATTACACGTGGATATTTTAAGTTTTAAGTATAATTACACCTATCCTCTTGAGAATAGCAACAATTATACAATTAGAGTGTGTTTTACACGTCAAGTAAGCTAACTTTTTGTTTATTTGTTTTGCTTATTTAATCAAATTAAGTTATTCAATACATAACATTATTTTTTATATATAAAGGAGGGATGCAATTATTTCAAAAATAAATTTTAATAGACTTCACAATAAATAAAGAGTATAAAAAAGTTAATGATTAACATATTTAAAAATGATACGAATGTGCTATACCTTCTATAATTAAAGAAAAAATGATCTTATATTTAAATGAATTAAACTTTATATTAAAAAATTTGCAACATAAATCATATAGTATTATTTCATCAACTCAATTTCTACTATATTACAAGTTATAAGTTTGTAACTATTTTTCATTTTTCATTTTTATTCCTACTCTTTTATTATATTTTTTTTCTTCATCATATTAATAGTCTTTTCGGAGCCTTTTTTTTTCCTATTCATTTATTATGGTTATAAATGGAAACAAAGACACATTTCCAAACGCATATACTAATACACATAGCAATAGCATCATTAAAATATTTTCTTTCACATTGATGACCTGGTATTGAGAAAAATCAACATTGGAGGATGAAATGTCAGGATCGGTTCGTAAAATAGCAATAAAAATGAAAAGGAATTAATGTGAAAAATGGGCCCTTCTTATATTTGCATCTTCCTAAGATAAGAAAAATTAAAATTAGTAACAGAACAATTTATATATAATTCTTAGAGCATTCGTCACTAAACTTTACGTGACACTAATTGTTAAGCAAATTTTGCCAATAAATTTTGATTTCACTACAGTATATATTGTTTACAAGAGAAAACATACAAGTTTACGATACTCAACGTGTACGAGCATAGATGCACGCAACATGTAAGTAGTTGAATGGTAACTCACACGTTAAGGCAAAAAATAAAATAAAATAGAACAAGAATAAATAAATAAATGCCATAAAATACAAGTATGATAAGAATATCATTTATTAATAAGGAAGGACTACAAAATCGATTCACACGTGAAAGATAACCCTATTAAATCAAAAGGAAGCACCACCGAAATCTTTAGTAGCAGGTCAATGAAGTTGCTTCAGAACATTTTTAATTTTCCTTCTTTGTTAAAAAGCTAGTTATATTTTTAAAGAGGACTTTTCCTTAAAAAGAAAAGTTAAGTTGAAAAAATATTAATTCAAAACCTACTCAAACATTTCTCCCTCTCCCTTGCAACTTTTTTTTTTCGTAGTTTGGAAAATAAATTTAAAAATATATAAACAATTTTTCTCTTTTCTTAATTATTTTTCCCGAAACTGTCTTCTAAATAGATATGTAATGTATAAGGGCATACATATTAATAGACGTTTACTAGGATTTCTTGTTCTATCTAGAAAAATAAATAATCACGTATAGGTATAATGCAAATCTACTGAGATAAAAAGAATTTTGGAGACTAATCAGATTTAAAATTTACAAAA